TTTAGAATACAAAGATGAATAAAACATGATTCTGAACTTCAAAGAGTTACTTCACCCTCTTCCATAATGGGTGAAGATCATGTGCAGAGAATGAAATGCAGAAATGTAGGATAGAGTGCCTCATGGGAACACTGGGGAGAGTTACCTCATTGGTGAGTGTGGAGTGTCAGGGGACAAGGGAAGTCTTCTAGCAGAGGTGGTGGTGACGGTATCTATTTCAAGCCTTAGGGAATGAGTTGAAGTTATCTAGGTGGACTAGGTGGAGGAGGCAAGAGTAAGAGGGCATTCCAGGCAGTGGAGCAGGAAAATCATGTGGAGATGAACCCACATGGTGCGTGTATGTGTGTGGAGCGTGTGTGTGGGGTGGGGATGGGTGGGTAAGGAATCAGTGCAACGGTGCACAGAGCTAGAGGTAGGGAGTAATGAGAGTGACGCTACTGGAGAGGCAGGCAGGGGCCAGATCATGGGTGTTTTCTTTCCCAGGCCAAGTTGCTCAAGCTTTATGCATAAGGACAAATGATGGCTTGGGCACAGCTGAAATACCTCTGCTCAAACCTGTGTGAAGAATAACAATTAGGATGGTAAAGCCCATTAGCAAACGGGTGATATGGTCTGTGTGTGGTCCAGGGCCAGGCTGTAAGGGCTTGATGGAGGCCAGGTTCACTGGGACGCAGAACAGTAGGAGGGCTGGGTGGTTGGTAGCAGAGGAGGGTGAGCTCAGGGGCAGAAGGAAGAGAGAGAATCCAGGCTGACTCTCAGCTCTGGAGTATGGTACCTGAGGTGATGCTACCATCCAAGATAGGGAATACATGGATATAAATGAGGGTTATGATCCAAGTTCGGGCATGCAGTGAAATCAAACTGGGGGTCTCTTAAAACTGGGCTGACTGTGGTTTTGCTGCTGCTGTTGTTTTTCTTTCTTTCTTTCTTTTTTTGAGACAGAGTCTCACTCTGTCGCCAGTTGGAGGTCAATGGTGCAATCTCAGCTCACTGCAACCTCTGCCTCCCAGGTTCAAGCGATTCTCCTGCCTCAGCCTCCCGAGTAGCTGGGACTACAGGTGCACACCACCACACTCAGCTAATTTTTGTATTTTTAGTAGAGATGGGGTTTCACTATGTTGACCAGGATGGTCTCAATCTCTTGACTTCCCAAAGTGCTGGGATTACAGGTGTAAGCCACCATGCCTGGCCAACTGTTGGTTTTGGAATACCTTGGTGAGATTCTGTTATAGGGAGCTGCATTGACAACTTCTCCTGGTGCATGCAGAAGACCTACCATGGAGTGAGCATGGAAGGGGTAAGACATAAGCAAGCTTTCACTCTGCTCCTTAGTAGCTCCAGGATAGTGGGTAAGTCATGTTAGCACTCCAGATTTCCTGTCCCTCGTTGAGGGAATAAGTTGGTTTGACAAATAATCTCTAAACAATTATTCTTATTTGATTAAATAAAGCCATGCAATATGATTCTTGTTCCCCATTTTTTGGTTAACAGTAAACACCCTCACCCCTGAAACACTTTGCAAAACTTTCTCTCTCCCAAGTTTGTGGGACATTTGATATTTGATGTCAAAATAGGAGTTTTCTTAACTCTTAAGAATATTCTTAGCTCCTTCTTGTCAGGAATTGCTTGCAACTCTTAGAGGATGTGACTCACCCCCAAAGCATTTATTTTCCAACTTTCAAATGGATTTTTGGAAACAAATATCAGCTGTTAATCAGAGCTTTCCTAGGTGCACAAGAAACTCTCTTCCACAAGGCTTTACCTCCCTTCCCTACTCAGTAAAGTGCCTAATACAAATAGGGAGCCACTTCTGGGACAGTAACGTCTGACATTAAAGAATGCATTCTAGGCTGGGTGCGGTGGCTCACGCCTGTAATCCCAGAACTTTGGGAGGCCAAGGCGGGTGGATCATGAGGTCAAGAGATTGAGACCATCCTGGTCAACATGATGAAACCCTGGCTCTACTAAAAATACAAAAATTAGCCCGGCCGTGCACCTGGGGTCCCTGCTACTTGAGAAGCTGAGGCGGAAGAATCGTTGTACCCAGGAGGCTGAGGTAGCAGTGAGCCGAGACTGCGCCACTGCACTCCAGCCTGGTGACAGAGCAAGACTCCATTTCAAAAAAAAAAAAAAAAAAAGAAAAGAAAAGAAATGAAAAGAAAGAAAGAATGCATTCTAAGTAAAACAATGTGTTTTTTCAAATTAGCACACATACCAAAAAAAAATATATATATATTGACTTAGTACACCTTAATGGCTTTCAAAGAGCCATTAGGCTCAAGTGAGTGAATATTCTGTGTATTACTAAACTATGCACAATGTATCCCAAAATAGCCATTTTATCTGTATATATAACAAGACAAGTTCATTTCTCTTTGAATTTTCCTTCGCTCCTTTCTAAGTAATTTTCCTAGCCCGTTTGAGAGCAAAGGGACACATTTTTTCAAGGTTTGGGTGTTTGCTTGCCTGGTTCCAAAGTTCATGGAATAACTGAGAAGTGTGTTCATCTGCTGTTGAGTGGCCTAAATGAGGGGGCATTCTACCTGGTTAAGTCCTGCTACAGTTTCCCTATTAACAGAGACACCAGCAAAGTGTAAGAAGCCTAAGGAGATTAATGTAAAATGTCTGCAGGGTAGAAAAATTGCTTTAGAAATAAAATAATACATCCTCTACCCCCCATGAATTAGCACTTGAGGCACTTTAATTGGACAAACTCGGTGTTTAGATCAGGAGTCTGTCCAGTTGCTGTCACCAGGGGAAGTAGAAGCAAAGGGGTTAATAATTGCTGACAATTTTTTTTAACAAGCAATTTTATTGCAGAAATGGGAGTTGAACCAGAACACTCACAATCAGAACGAAAGGGCAGGCAGGCAGATCTGGAAAACTCACCATTGCATGTGAAAAGGAAAGTTTCCATGGATTTTAGAGAAGCCAAAGAAAAGGGCTTATTTTATATTTGAGAACAAAGCTTAATTTAGATTTTTAAGGACCAGTCACCCAACATTCAAAATCCATACATAATGCTCTGAAGAAATGCAACAATGCCTCCATTTGATAATAGCAAGGAAAGCATTCATATCTGACAATACCTTATGCAATGTTTATAAGATATATGTCTCTAGGTGCTTTCACAGAAAGTGTGTGAAATTTAATGTGTTGACTTTTATTTCTAAAGAATTGTGTTGTTTACCTGCTATCTTAGAGATTACTGTTCCACCTTGAACAGTGAAGGTGAAAGGATACCAATCAGCCAGTGTGTATCTTCTGACAATTTCCAGATTTTTATCTAGAGACACCCAGCAGCTGAGAATCATTCATAGGTGGTATGTTTTAGTAAGAAAGAACACTGCACTTGGGAGTCAGAAGATAGAATTCAATGTCTCAGCTCACACCTGTAATCCCAGTTACTCTGGAGGCTGAGGCATGAGAATCGCTTGAACATGGGAGGCAGAGGTTGCAGTGACTCGAGATCACACCACTGCACTCCAGCCTGGGTGACAGAGCAAGACTCTGTCTCAAAAAAAAAAAAAAAAATGCGGCCATGGGGAAATAGTTTCTTCCAATGGTTCCCAAACATTATTGCATGACAAAACCATCTGTTGAGCTTTATATATGCACATATACACCTGAACCATCCTCCTGAAATTCTAGCTCAGTAGGTCAGAGATTGGTCTCTGTATTGTTTAAAAGCAGTGGGGGTCAATAACTACTGACAAATCCATCACACTTGAGTGTCCTCATTTGTAAAATAGGGACAGCATTTTTTATTCAGCTTACAGGGTTGTTGTGAAGACTAACTACAATGATATATTTAAGACACCAGTGCAATGCTCAGAAGAGGGTCACTTATTTTTCTTTCAGTGGGCCATGATTGTTCTAGTTCAGAGCTCCCCAAAGTGAATTCTAAGGAGCAATAACCCTATGGGATGCTTTATGGAAAAACTGTGTACCATCCATCATATTTGGCAGCTGCACATTACACTCCCTTCCAGACTGTTAATGGGACCATTAGCGCCTTAAAGTTTCTGAAAGGACCTGAAAAAAAGGAACTGGCTACGTTGGTTGAACTCAGTGTTTCTCAAAGTGATTTGACTACCCAATTCTTTCTTCCAGTGGCAATTATTTATTGATGTTGGATGGAACTTGCTTTAGTGAACACTACTCTTTATGATCACTAACTAATGTTCTACCTTCTATAACCTGCCTCAAGGAATTGACTGATTGTTTTTAGTCTGATTGAAACCTAGCCTTTCTGATCATTGTGAAGAATATCTGTTCTTTTCCTGAACTGCTGGTTTAAATGGACTCTCATATTGAACGTGATTCCATTTAAATACTGTAGTTTTTACTTTAACTGAGGTAGTTATAAAGGCAGAACACAAATGATCTAGAAAAAATTAAACCTTCAATTTAGAAATAAAATTCACACCTAAACAGTAGAAATTCACAAGTCCATGACTGTTAAATAAAGGGAAGACAGTTACATTTCGAGAGCTCCTATTTTACCCTGGAAACCAGTCGAATGGGATAAAATTTAGAAATGCAGGTTATGCTTCGAGTGATATTAATCCAGGGATCAAAAATAAGTGGTAGAAATGGATATAGATGCAGTAAAAATTTGAGTCTTGAGGATAGCACTGTTTCTTTTAAGTCAATGATTTAAGAGCTTTTGGGAAGATGAATATAATCATGCAGATTTTTTGGTGACCTCATTTGTCTGGTCTGCACTCTTAAAGAAAGAATAATCAGCTTCTAATGTGTCCTTCTGGAAATGAGAAGCAAAATGGCCAAGTGTATCTCTGATTGGGGTGTACTTGCAAAAGAATCACCTACTCATTCAAGCAGAAGAAGACACAGGCATAGACACATGGTGTTGGGATGGATGAATAGACATGATGTGATGTGTAAAGTCAGGTTTGGCAGAGTTTACAGTAAGAGTTTGCTTCAGATGACTACTCAGAGAAACATATATGTATTTTTCATGCATCTTGCTTTTACAGGTTTCTGAGATAAAAATCTCAGAAGAACAGCTTTGCTCGTGAGCTTTCTGATATTTCCACTGTGGTCCTGGCCAGAAACACTGTGAGAACACCCTTTCATTTGGTATTTGAGCCCTTCTGCCTCTGTTCCTGGCTGCAGACCAAAGGGAACAAATGCAACTGAACGTTTCAGAACCTCAAAATAGTAAACCCAAAATGGTCTGCTCTGCTTTTGGTTCTAAAAATGATCGACCCCAAAGCCTTGTTCCAAATAATCTGGTAGATCCATCTCTAATGTGGATTACTGGATTTTAGAAGCCTTTGGAGGATGGTGTTTTTAAAACAGGCAACTAAGAACAAAGAAAACAGTCAATCCAAGTGGTTGTAGTACAGGTATCTGACCACCACAGCAGAGACTAGATTTAATAAACATACTTATGTTCTAGTGTAAAGTAATTAGAAGGGGATTAGAATTTAGAGTGGAATATCTGGGCTTGAATGTTGACTTGATCTTGCCATCTGAATGTCTAGGGCATATTTCTGAGGCTCAGTTGTTACCTGTGGGTAAAATTAATAATAAAAATGAAAAATGAGTATGTCCATTTTAATTGAGTCATTATGAGGAGCAACATTATAAAAATACTTCTAAAATTGGAATGTCTGTGATAATATGAAAGTCAGTAAATCCCAGTGATTAGAAGTTTGAACTTTACAATACAACACATCTGGGTACAGATTTCTGCTCTTCTACTTTCTAGCTCTATTGCCCTATATGGGTCACTAAAAATCTTTGACAATCAGTTTTATCATCTGTGAAATGGGGTTAATGCTGTTGGGAGAATGAAATCAAGTAATGTGTATAATATATTTGGCACACAGTTAATGCTAGAAAAATTGCTGGCTATTAATACATGTATAAATGATGATCATGGTGATTTTATATACTCATAATTTTTGGTGCCAGTCCAAATACAGACATATGAGAATGTGGCTAGATCCTCGATTTTCCCTGAACCTTCTTTCCATGAAGTTACATACTCTATAGCATCAGTGGGTGAGTTGACTTAGGAGGGGTGCCAGTATGAGCTTGGAGTAGCTTACTTGGATCCAAAATATGGCTTTTGCTAAATATAAAGATCTAGGGGAGAGAGTAGAAAACTCTTGCTGGGCCAATGCCAAGTATGAAGCAATGCTGATCTTGGCAATTTTTAGCATCCAATTTTCACCCATTAAGAAAGGAGGGTTAAAAGGTATAAATAAATGCAGAGGCCATAATAAAATCATTGTGGAATTAAAACATTAAACCCATGGGCTCTTAATTATCAAATAGCAGTTATTGTTTACAAATATTCTCATATTAGGGACTTAGGGATTTCATAGGCTCCTCCCCTCCGCTCTCTCCCCTCTCCTCCCCTCCCCTCTCTCCCCTCTCCTCCCCTCCCCTCCGCTCTCTCCCCTCTCCTCCCCTTCCCTTTCCTGGGACAGAAATGGTTTTGCTCTGCTGCTCAGGCTGGAGTGCAGCAGCATGACCTTGGCTCAAGACAGCCTCCACCTCTTGGGCTCAAGCAATCCTTTCACCTCAGCTTCCTGAGTAGCTGGGACCACAGGTGTATACCATCACACTTGGATAATAAAAAAAATTTTTTTTTATAAAAACAGGGTCTTGGCCAGGCTCACTCCTGTAATCCCAGCACTTTGGGAGGCCAAGGTGGGCAGATCACAAGGTCAGGAACTCAAGACCAGCCTGGCCAATATGGTGAAACATCATCTCTACTAAAAATATAAAAATTAGCCAGGCGTGGTGACGTGTGCCTGTAGTCCCAGCTACTCAGGAGGCTGAGGCAGAAAAATCTCTTGAACCTGGGAGGCAGAGGTTGCAGCAAGCCTATATTGTGCCACTTCTCTCCAGCTTAGGTGACAGAACAAGACTTCGTCTCAAAAAAACAAAAACAAACAGAGTCTCAATATGTTGCCCAGGTAGGAGTCTCAAACTCCTACCTCAGCTGATCCTACCACTTCAGCCTCCCAAAGTGCTGGGATTACAGGCACAAGCCACTGTGTCTGGCTCAGATATTTGTCTTAAAAACAAATATTTACTACCAGCAACCTGGCTGGCCCAAAATGTGACTGGCAGCTTATTTTATATTCCCCATACACATTAAATGTAGAAACGTACTAACTATTAGATTTGATTAAATATTAAAATGTCATATTTTTCAGCCAATGAAAAAAATATTTTATATTTGCTCTGGGGGAAATGACTAGCTTGCTACCTTTTAATGGTATTAGTTATACAGTATTTTCTCTTCCTCCCTTCATAGTCAAAATCTTGGATGGCTTACTCTCCTTGAGAACACTTCCTCATGGGTTTTGAATCTCCAGCTCATTCCACTCCCAGGTACTGAAACCATATTCTTCATAGACCCCTCTACCTGCCCAAGGGTCAACTTGATTCTTCTCTTGCCATTTCGCATCAGTGACCATGTTGAAAATCCTTGCACTTGCTATCTGCTGCACTCTTCCTGTATTTTGTTTTCTTCTGAATTCTGATGAATACTTTTCTGTTGCTTTAAGGTGCATGCTCAGGGTTCTGTTCATTATCATCTTCTCTTTGCCTGATCCTTTATCTTTAAGCAAACCCATCCATTCTTCCTTCTCTGGTTATCTCCTCTCTCCAAAGAGCTGGGCCACCATGATTTTTCTCCTAAGCCTGTTATCTTCACCTGGATTTCCTCAAGCTCGGTATATAAAGCCAAAACTCTTCAATTGTCTTTGTAAGCCAGCTCTCCAATCCCTTCTTCTTTGTCTCAGCCATTTTGTTTGTATATGGAAATAAACCTCCTGGTGTTAAAACCTCAAAACTGCAGCATTATCTGTGTCTCTACACTCTTGTTTGACCTCGAGATCCAGGAAATACCCCAGTTTCATTGTAAGGCCTGTCAATTTTATCTCACAATGTTTTTTACACTTATAAGATAGATAGACCAAAACAAGGGTCTGTGTGACATTCTCTGTGATGCTCATGCTTACGTTTTTGAGATAGTTGCTGGAACTCTAGCTATAACTTCTGCATTTCAGGCAGAAAGGAAGAGGATGATCACAGAAACAAAAGGCATCTGCCAACTGAACCTGCCACCCTTTAAGGGGAGCATTCCTGAAAGCAGCACGTGATAATCTTTGCTGACATTGAATTGAGCAGAGTAGTGTTTCGTGACCATCCTGATCTACAAGGGAAGCAGAGAAGTGTAGTTCAAAAGATGTGGACACAGTGCTGTTTCCATAAATGGGAGTTATATTGGTAAGGAAGAAAGTGCAAAATGTTTTGGGGTAGGCAGTAGACAGCCTCCAACACCTTTTTTCTTAACTTCTCTATGTTTACTTAAATTCCCACTGACTTTGAATAAAACAATCCTTGTTTCCTATCATCATCATCTAACTTCACATCTTCATTGTCTTTTTGCTTAGATTATTACAAAACCAAGTGGACTATGTGTGCCTCTATTTCACTGCAACTACTGTCCTTATTCATTAATCTATTAATTCATCAGGAAAATATTGATAACGGGCATTGTGCTATGTGCTAGCGATGAACAGAATTGTGACTTTTGACTTCAGGGCCTCACAGTTCAGTTGGAGAGAGCAACATGGCACCAGTTGACTCTAGGGCAACACAATAAGTGACATAACAGAGACAGATGGAAGGGAATGAAGAAGCAGAGAGAACATCCTGACTAATTCAATCTGGAAACGGTGAGGAAGACCTTCCAGGGGTGAGGTTGTGAGCTGAGTTGTGTATTAGTAGGAATTTCTTTGTTCAACACACAGAGAAATAAGTTTTCTGTTGTTGTAAACTATTCCTTACTAATTAAAAACAAAGTGGTTCTATTCTTGACCTCACTCTGAATTTAATTTTTTAAGAATGTAATCATAAGTGAAAGCAATTTTAAAGATAGCATTATAGGGCATAGTATTGATAAATGAGAGGAAAACTGGTTCTTAAAGAGTGTACCACTCACTTACCATGCCCTGAAATTAACTGAGAGCTCATTTGTCAAGAGAGCACCTACCCAATAGAGAATTCTTCCAATTAACATCAAAAGCGATCATTCTTAACCTCTCATGCATTAAGAAAATCTCATCTGCACCCAGTGTTCTGTTCATAATCAATGAAGCCCTTTATGTATGTTATTCCAAATTTATCACCCTGTATATTACTAAAATGAATGAATTAATAAATGAATCTGCTGTAGATCCAGAAGCCAGATTTATTTGTTGTCTTCTGGTTCTCATGGGATTTTCCTTTGGTCTCCAAGACATTTCACTCTGCAGTTTCTCATAGTTTGGGGTATTTATTGATAGCTACTGACAGCATGAGTTGGTACTCACAGACTCACAATGGTTGTGTCAGAAAAGTGGTTTTGAGGGGGATTAGTTAAATTCTAAAAATGTTAGCCAAGTCACTCTCAGGCTACGCTAAAAAGACAGAGCAAGTGTTGTGCTATATCAGTTCTAACAGTATTATATTGCTATAAAAAGCACACATGAAGATAAATGATGCTTATTGCTGGTGAGGTCATGGTAAGCTTGATGTAGAATTGTAGGCAAGGCTGGGTGTAGAAGGATACCCATTGGAGTATTACATAAACTGCAGAATACTCATGAGCTAGAATACTCCGTACTCTTCAAAATTGGTGTTTTCCGATCATTTTGATTACATGGAAAAGTGCCTACTATGTTCAATGAACAAGAAGACAAACAGTTGTATCCAGGTCTGATCCATGTACATGTGGATACATATATATGCATACACCTCTTTCAAATGATTTACATCAGAATGTTAATGATAGTCTAAGTTTAAGTGATAAGAAATAGATAGAAATCTATTATCATCTTTAAAGTTCTCTAAATTTTATAAATTTCTAATCAAGATGCACAAGTTTCACGGTCAGAAATAAATCACTCTTCTTCTTTTTTTTTTTTTTTTTTTTTGGATGCAATGGTGCGATTACAGCTCATGGCAGACTCTACCTCCCGGGCCCAAGAGATACTCCCACCTTCCCACCTCAGTCCCCTGAGTAGCTGGGACCACAGGTGATATGGTTTGGCTGTGTCCCCACCCAAATCTCATCTTAAATTGTAGCTCATATAATTCACACGTCTTGTGGGAGGGACCTGGTGGGAAGTAATTGAATCATAGGGGTGGTCTTTCCCGTACTACTCTGGTGAGAGTTAATAAGCCTCATGAGATCTGATGGTTTTATAAAGGGGAGTTCCCCTGCACACATGCTGTCTCGCCTGCCACTGTGCAATATGTGACTTTGCTCCTCCTCTGCCTTCTGCCATGATTGCGAGGCCCCCCAGCCATATAGAACTGTAAACCAACTAAACCACTTTTCTTTCTAAATTACCCAGTCTTGGGTATATCTTTGTTGGCAGCAGGAGAGCAGACTAATACAACAGGGACGTGCCACCACACCTTGCTAATTTTTTATTTTTGTAGAGACGAGGTTTTGCCATGTTCCAGCCCAGACTGGTCTTGAACTCCTGGGCTCAAGTGATCCTCCTACCTTAGCTTCCAAAATTTCTGAGATCACAGGTGTGAGCCACTTTGCCTGGCCAGAAATTAATCACTGTTAAAAGGAAAACTTAAAAGGACCATGTAGCAGAGGATGAAGACATTATTTATAGGTATTTTTTTTACAGGTATACATTCTACACTGCTAATTCTCAGACCCACATATAGTGTGAGGTCAATTTCACTAAGGGGCTCAGTGCAGGCTCTGGCCAGGGAGGGTGCTCCAGGCTTTGAGCCTAACTGTCTGCTATCACTCTCTCCCCTCCCATCCCATTCTCCAGGCTGCCATCAGATTTCTCTTTCCAAAGCATAGCTATTGCCCTGTTATCCTCTCTCTGGAAATATTTTTAAAACCTGTTATCCTGTCTCTGGAAACACTGTTAAAAGCCTCCCGATTGTGCACAGAATACATCCTCCCCCTCTGCTGGCTTCAGTTCATGTCCTCAGTCTGATATCTCTCACATCTCTCACACCTCCTGCACTCCAGCACAATGGAGCTACCTTAATGACACTCTTCACCTCCCCCTACCTACCACTTTACTCTCATTTTTGCTTCTCCTACCCATTCTTTCAGACCCTGCTCAAATTCCCAGAGTGACCACTCTGAATTAATCATTCCCTCCATTATTTCCTCTTTGCACTTTATTGACCTCTTTTATTGCGTTAATCAGAATTTTACTTGTATTATGGTTCCTTGTGTCTTTCTGTTCTTGTATTGATTTTTAGCCCCCCAAATCATGTCTTCATTTATAATCTTTATGGAGTGATTCTCAAACGTTAGCACATATCCCAATCACCTGAGGGTTCATTAAAACAGATTGCTGGACTCTATCCCTGGTGTTTCTAATTCAGTACATCTGGGGTGGGGCAGGAGAATTGGCATTTCTAATAAATAAATCCCCAGGTAATCCTGCTGCTGCCTCAGTTTGGCGACCACACTTGGAGCACTACTGCTTTTCTTTTTCGTTTTTTGAGACGGATTCTTGCTCTGTAGCCCAGGCTGGAATGCAGTGGCACAATCTCGGCTCACTGCAGCCTCCACCTTCTGACTCCTGGTTCAAGCGATTCTCATGCCTCAGCCTCTGGAGTAGCTGGGATTACAGGTGCCCCCCGCACCACGCCAGCTATTTTTTTTATTTTTAGTAGAGATGGGGATTCACCATGTTGGCCAGGTTGGTCTTGAACTCCTGACCTTGTGATCTGCCCGCCTCAACCTCCCAAAGTGCTGGGATTACAGGTGTGAGCCACCATGCCCAGGCGCTGCTTTTCAAAACTAGGAAACAATGAACTAACATAAATGAACTTGCTATAGTAGATAGGGACTGGAGGTTCAGAGCACAGGACTAAAAAATGCCAGTTCTGCCACTTAATGCTAAAACAAGTTATTTAATCCCTCTGAATCTTCATTTTCTTGCCAGAAAAACATGGAGATATTATTACAGTAAGTCTTCAATGTCACCCATAGGTTCTTGGAAACTGTGAATTTAAGCAAAATAATATATAACAAAACCAATCTTACCATGGGCTAATTTACATAAATAAGAGTTAAGGGCCTATGAAGTACTTCTGGTCACAAAAGCATCACCTAACTTCTAAATAAAAACAAAAACACAGCTGGGCATGAGGACTCACGCCTGTAATCCCATTACAGGAGGTCAGGAGTTTGAGACCAGACTAACCAACATGGCATACATTAGCTGGATGTGGTGGCAGGTGCCTGTAATCCCAACCACTCAGGAGGCTGAGGCAGGAGAATCATTTGAACCTGGGAAGTGGAGGGTGCAGTGAGCCGAGATTGCGCCACTGCACTCCCACTTGGGCAACGAGCTGGACTCCCTCTCAAAAAAACAAAAAAAAATCTAATATTAAACATTGAAATAAATATGACTATACATATATTTAAGAAAGATTAATAAACACAAACAAGGTCATTATTTAAATGCTTTTTCCAATTCAAGGTTAGGAGTGATCAGAGCCCATTCTAGCAGCTCAGGGCATAAGGTTGGAACCAGCCCTGGACAGGATGTCAACCCATTGCAGGGAGCACTGACACCCACCCACACTTACACTCACTCACACTGGGACTGTGTGAATATGTCGGTTAACCTAACATGCACATCTTAGGGGATAGTGGAGAAAACCCACAAAGATAATCATCCCAGCTGGGGCTAGATTTTTTTCACATGAGTATTATAAAGAAACAACACTACTTTGGGAGGCTGAAGCAAAGCAGGCAGATCACAAGTTCAGGAGATCAAGACCATTCTGACTAACACAGTGAAACCCCCATCTAAACTAAAGATACAAAAAATTAGTTGTGCGTGGTGGCATGTACCTGTAATCCCAGCTACCAGGGAGTCTGAGGCAGGAGAATCGCTTGAACCTGGGAGATGGAAGTTGCAGTGAGCTGAGATTGCACCACTACACTCCAGCCTGGGTGACAGAGCAAGACTTCGTCTCAAAAAAAAAAAAAAAGAAAAGAAACATAACTGAACAAAATAGTTATTCAAGAATCAACCACACCTCTTAAGTAGGGTAGTCCTGAGGGTTATATTAGATCATGTTTGTAAAGGGTCCAGTAAGTGGTGGCTACCATTATTATTAACTTGTTTATTCTATGCAATAACTTTATAAGATAAATTTTGCCACCATTTTACAGAAAGAGACTGAGGCAAACAGAGGACCCATAATTTACCGGAAGTCCTCTACCCTATGAAAGACAAGACTGAGATTCTAATTTAAGACATTTTGACACATTCTATTCTACTCACCACAACATATTAAATATAATGCACACTCAACAAACGTTCTTAATGTTGGATTTCTATATTTCTTTATGCAAAATCTTCTATTGGCATTACCACATCTGAAAACATTTTCCTGGAGCTTTTCTTTTTTGAGTCTCACTCTGTTGCCAGATTGGAGTACAATGGCATTATCACTGCTCACTGCAACCTCTGCCTCCCAGGTTCAAGCAAGTCTCCTGTCTCAGCCTCCCAAGTAGCTGGGACTACAGGTGTGTGCCACTGCACCCAACTAATTTTTATACTTTTAGTAGAGACGGGATTTCACCATGTTGGCTAGGTTGGTCTCCATCTCTTGACCTCATGATCTGTCCACCTTGGCCTCCCAAAATGCTGGGATTACTGGAGTTAGCCACCACACCTGGCCCTTTCCTGGACTTTTAACTAAAGA